TTTCGAATTAACACACGACTGCACTTACGTCGTTTTCGAATTAACACACGACTGCACTTACGTCGTTTTCGAATTAATACGACGATATAGTATTGTGAGCAACCAGGCTCTGCTATACATAGTTATAATAATTAATTGCATGCTCATAAAAATCCTGTGTAGATAGCGGATGGAGAATGGCAAACCAGACAGGTTTCAGGTTACAGGTTCAGTTTGGAGCTGACCTTTCAAATATCTCACGACCTAGAAAACTCGACTATTCACACTTAAAACGCTGTATGATTATGTGCCTGATATTTAAAGTCTGCTGTAGGAGTACCAATTATGTACCATATAAGACTGGAGATTGGAAGGAAGAAGATTATTAAGATATTGGGGGGGAAAGAGAGAGGAATAAAGTAGGGACTCAAGTCCTACACACGCGATAATATTTGGTGTTTTTCACACATTGTTATTATTGCATTGCTTTACAACTCATGCAAATTACTACATTTCTAACCAGATTAATTATTATGAGTCATATCACATTTTCCAATCACACCATTCACACAAATGACACATATCCCAGTACAAAAATAAACCCATTTTTGCATAGTTGGATGACAATATCTACATATTGAGAAAGATATATTTGTTCACCGATAGACTGATATATTTTATTAAGATGACGAGTCCTAAGCTAGCTTGAATATTTAAACAGTTCATAATTAAATTCGCAAGACCTCGCATATCATATATGTGTGTATGTACGTATTCCACCTGTATAATAGATTTTCTTTAAACAACAATCAGGCTGGACTTGGTAATGTCACTTTTTGCATATGTATGTAGATTTTTCTCTTAACTTTGATCGCATTAGTAACTAAGATTGTTGACATGATTTTCCTAACCTGGATTTTAGTTTCAGTGTGCATAATTAAAATGAATAAAACCATCTGCGTTCTACCATGCAAAGTGGTTACACTTGGGAGTTAATGGACTTTAGTTTTAACTGAATTGTACGTATGCTATAAAAGTTTAAAACACCCTTCATGCATGTGACTCGGCAAAGCCGACAACGCGATGGGTTGAAGTGTAACACTCCGATTTGGTTGAAATCTGAAAATTACGTAGTCCAAGTTAATACAACCAACGCTTCATTAAGCAGTTTGTCGATGGTTAAAGTTTGTCAAAATATTTTAGGCCAAACTCACTTTAGTGATAATTTATTTCTTCAAAGCGAATGGCAGTGGAATTTGCGCCCTTGCGGGGGTCCTCAAATATTTTGACAGAGATTCCAATCATCGGCCAATCTGCCAGAAGAAGTTTTGGATGTGTTGACTCAGATTACATACATAATTTTTAAATTTCAACCACACAGAACGTTGCACGTTGCATTTCACACCATTGCATTTCAGGTAGGTAGTTTTGATTAGTATTGTAATTTTCTAAATTTCTGAGTTAATCAATGGTGGAGACTATCCTACATATTCCGGAGTTTTTTATGATTGGACTTACATTTTTTTTAAAGAATTTGGTGAATTTAATTTTAAAACCAAATACACCAGTATAACTCAATAAGACATAATAAACCCCGTAAAACATAATATGCGCCTTGATTTTTCGATTAAAACCCTAGAGATTTCCGAACCCTAGTTGACCTCGGTAGGTATTTGACCAGCATAGTAAAACCAGAATTTGCCGGATGGAGAAATTATTGTCACATTTGAACTGACATTTGGCGAAATTTATTCATGCCAATATCTCAAGGTTTAGTTTATAGAGTATTATAGAATGTTTTTCGCCAAATGATTTAGATGCCGAGTTCATTCCGCATAATAGATTTCCGTTTAGACAATTTATAATCCAAATTGATAAATTGCTAAACGTTTCAACATATGACATCCGGTGCTTACTCTAATCTTTTCATATGCTTTGGTTTTTTTAAACCAAACAAATAAAGATAAAGCTTTCTTTTCCAAGCTATAGGCACTCATGAATTGCAAGTCGCTTCAGTTACCATGGACTACATTACCAAAAAATATTCTACACTAAGAAAAGTGATATTTGGAATGAAAATTCCGAAAACCTGGATAAACAGTTTCGAACAGTTGCTAAAATATGGCAAGATGGTAAACTCCGTACCGCTGAGATTCGACGGAAAAGTGCAGGTATGAAAGCGCTAAACTGGGTGTGTAATACATATATCACTAAAATGTACACTTTTTTATTTCCAGCCTGTAGAAAAGCTGACTTCATTAATTTTCATTTCCGTCACTTTATTCGTTGCTACGTTGAATTGTGGTTACAGAGCTTGGACAATTTATTCTCGTCCGGTGAATGAATTTCCCATTGGCGACTTTGTCACCGAAATTGGGAACCTGGTGGCCATTACAGCGACGACATCACTTGGGTGGGAGCTGTTACTTAAGAGAAAACAATGTGCCCTATTTTTTAACAGTGTTGTCCAATTGGATTATGATTTGAAAAGTAAGGAACTTAAATACTTATAAATGCTTAAATTTCTGAAATTGTTGGTCTTAACTTATCAGGAAAGTTTGGAGGTGGGCACACTTCTCAAAAGTACAAAGCTCTGTCCCGTTTCCTCCATCTTTTAGTAATTTTCTCAGTATGTTATCCGATTTTTGGAGGCATACCACAACAATTCAAGGATCGGCACCATCGCCAATATTGGGGGTCGTCACTACTACCTCGATCAATTTATGATGATCCCATCGTTGCCGTACTATGCTTGTTGTACGAACTTCGGGTTACATTTATCAACGCTTTTGCTTCCAGCCTCACATGTTCAATTCTTTACTGTTACATGTAACTGAATGAACTTTGGCTAGGAATTTTGGAAAATGGGTGAGTAGGTTTTTTAAATACTAATCTAAATTTGTACGATCCGCAACATCCTTTTCAGATGTGCTAAATTTGACAAGTTAGCGGGCAGTGACATATACGCTACTGCCGGTTTCATGGTGTGATTTGTAATATTCAAGCAGTATATCAATTCCTTTATATACTTGGTATGTGGTATGGCTGTAACCACGCAGTCGAATGTGCAATCACATTGACCAGTTATTTACTGAGCAAATGTTGCTCAGGCCACTGGGCTTGGTGTTATGGTTCGAACATTAAAAGAGGAGTACAATTTTTGGGTACTTGTCTGCCATCATGCTTCCTAAATGACCTCGGAGGGCAATGGTTTGGCATTAATTTATTTATTAATGGAGCCTTACCTGTAATGTGAGAAATTTATCGTAATTTTCCGATAACCCGAACCCGAACGAGGTCACTGAGGAGGGATGAAGGTTGACAACGGTCTTTACTGATACCGGAATCAGTGTAATATGTTGATTCCAACATACCTACATATCTATATTATACGTATGTTCGGTAGTAATACACATGTGCACCACTCGAACAAATGAATATCCATTACCGAATTAATTAGTTATGCTGAATTACAAAGTATTTAGCTAGTAACAATTATTTATACTTCTTGTTCTATCCTTTAGAAAATTGATCTCTATCACTGTACCAATATCAGTCCAGCTAAAATTATTTTCGTCCCTCAAAATACTAAACATACTTCACAACGAGGTCGCTGCTGGCGTATTATGGCCGGCCTTTGAAAACGGTTTGCTCGTCATGCAGGTCGTCGAGCACGTCCTGATGATCCGATTTTTAGACAACGTGCACCCCAACTCGGTCCTCATTTCGCAAATTGTACTGGGATTGGCAATGGTGTCTCAAGGAAGGTGTATCAAATCGGGGGCTAAAATGGTTGAGACTTCGACTAAATTCAAAAAGGTGTGCAAAATATGTTGATTGAAAATTTCAGAATTTCCATGATATCTAATTTTTTCATCATTAATTAATTTTCCAGACTGTTCGCCGGTTTGGGAATAAATTCGAGAAAAAAGTGGCAAAATCGTTGCACCCCTTGAGAGTGAATGTTGGTTCGTTCTATTACTTTAAGAAGTCTACATTTACAACATTTCTTCAAACCCATCTCGACACCACGATTAATTGGTTACTAACAATACCTTAGCTTTCTCGCTTCTATCCTGATGAAGAATAGTATTACATCATCGAGGAAATCTGTTCTACGTACATAAAGTTTCTGAGCACGCGAGAAAAAATGCTCCCACCATATTTTGAGCGCTTTTCATGTTTTTCGGATGTACACAAAATTTTCAGGTGAGCATAAGGGCTTGGGCGACATTGTCAGAAAAAATCAGTACCGATTCGGTACTGATTTTGGAGGGACAAGCGGGGCAATTGCCCAGGGCGCCGACAAGCCATGGGCGCCCGAGCGTACACTACATAAATAAGATTGACTGTCACCTTCCCCTAAAATATTTTTCCAAATTCTGACCATCGCACAACTGGCTCAAGAAACGTTGGTTGTATTGAGCTGGACCACATAATTTCAAAATTTCAACCAAATTACACTTCACACCATCGCATTGTGAGTGTATTTAAGCACGGACAATGTATGTACATGCTTATGTAGCCAGTAATCTAAATATTAATAAAAACTTATTTGGATAACTCAAAAAACCACGAACTCTTAAAAATAGTGCTAACAATTTTTAAGATTAAATACGCTCTGAGTTCTAAATTTCATAAACTGCACTATATGCAGAGTTTGCACATATGTAAATGCATACTTCACTGTTTATGAAGTTAGTGTTGCTCTTAATTTTGTATATCTTACCCATACTTGATATAAAATTGCAGGTGAATTAACTTTTCAAAAGGGCAACTTTATTTTTAAGAGTGCAATTGCATACATGTGCATGTACGCTGTGTGATTATTTACAGCATTTACGGATTAAGCATAAGCGTATCCACCACACCAGATATTTACTAAATTTTGACAGCAATACTTTCCCCGGATCACTACGCAATCGACCCGAAATCTGTTCCGGGTATTTCACAGCATCCAACCTACATAATTCTCCATTTAACTCCAGCTGCTCGTTAAGCTAGTTTTGTTCAAACAGTTCTGTGCAAAAAAAAATAAAACAAATTATTTATTAGCCAAAATTTTGGTTAAATGGACATTGAGCTTCGTTTTTTAGGTCGGGACCATAAATTTAAAACAACTCGTCAATTTGTGTACTGCGTCCTTCCGTACATCGAGGGCCAGCGGGTGAGCGGAATTATTTATTAAAGATGGTGTGCATAACTGTTGTGAATAAATATTTTAATTATTTTTGAGGCCAAATTTTTTCGAAAATCGATTTTGCACTCTTAAAAATAAAGCATAGTAAATGATTTCTGAATATTATATGACGTAAACTATGTATACTAATTCCAGGGTATCGTAAATTTAATAAAGTTTACACTGGGTTTTGTATAGTTTATTTAATTTATTTAGAATTTAGAGTGCATTTACTGTTAAAAAAAGAACTCTATTTTGAAGTGTGCAATTATTTGCATAGTACACGTTCGGCCACTCGTATCAACCTTGTGGTGGCGGAGAAGAATTTTTGTACTTGTTGAGGATCCGATTATTCGGGAAGGAGAAGGAAGCTGCCCGATTTCAAATTTCTTGTCGCCATGGGAAATACCGGATTAGGCGGTTATCGGTTAGTTACACATGTTATTTACAGTTATTTCAAAATATTTTAATCAGTCAAAATATTTTAATTTTTTGGGCAACACCTCTGTATTACAACGTAACGGTTATTAACTACATAGTATCTCGAAAATATATATTTATGAATGTTACCTAACCATATTTTCACACTTTTCGAGACTTATAAGTACGAAAGAAGAATCATTTCATAAAATTTTAATAGGTGTACCCAGATGAACGTTTTACTACGCATCGTATTTCCAAAATGAATAATTTTTATGTGAAATAATCTATAAACTTTCAAACTAAAATTTCAGAATGCCCAAAATTACGCAATATTCCTAAACGAGACCGAAGTCTGTGATACCACGGAAGGTATGAGAATATCGCTTGGGGACATTTTAGTCGTCGCGGAACATAACACGCTGAAATATCCCTCCTGGTGGAAATCAAGGTGGAAATTTTTATCAAAAGAAAATGTGCAGAGGAAGAATCGCCCCGAAAATTTTCAGCACACGTGCGTTTTCAGCTTCCAGGTTTGTGAAAAAAATAAATTTGATTTGCCTGACAGGAAATGTGTAGTTTTTAAGGTTTTACTAAATTCTAAGAGCTTTATAAATTCCAATTTTGTTACTTATGTCCATACTATTTTATTTGCTACAAAACTGCAAAAAAAGTTACACCACTTGGAAACTTATCAGAAAAAATGACAAATCACTGGGCTAATTCAAGCTTGGTGGCATTTTAAAATACATAAATTCTTTACAGAAACAAATAGTTCTACAAATATTTCTGAAGCATATTTTTACAAACTCATTAAGGCCTTTTTACTTCTGTAAAAGTTTGTAAATTTATTTTACGAAGTTATTAATGACCTCGTGAACTGGTTCACCGGGGTTTGCTCAAATTTTTAGTTGAAATTTCAGGCGAGAAGACTTCCTACTACGTTCGACTCGTCTGAGAACGAAGATTCCTCAAAGTTCGAATATTTCGCCCGTGACACAACTGAAACATACAGCGCCCTCGAGAACACATTGGTGGGTAAACAATTTTTGAATTTCTCTCTAAAATCCTAAATTTCTGAAATCTTTTTAAAAGTAGATACTCTCCAAAATATTTTCGTACTTGGCCCTACCAACCTTAAAGAATTGTCGCCTTGTCTCATCCTTCTGGGAGAGTGAAGCCGTCCTTTTGCTCAAGTCCCGATCCGAAATTCGGTTCCAGTTTTACGCCTACCGCGAACCCGCCAAGTCGACGAGATTCTTTCTCTACAGACATGAAATGTTACCATTCGCCCATCCCAATTGGCACGTGGACCGAATCGATACCGGTGAAACGGTGATGTTTTGCAAATTAAGTGTCGATTTCGACAAGGTGCTCGAGAATTGTGGCGTAATCCGTCGCCTGAGTTGTGTTTATTGTCCCACCATAAATAACGTGCTATTGATAAGGTTGCTGAATCGGTTGGCCAATTCGCTAGAGGAATTGTCGATTTGTTTCGAAAATTGTGGAAATTCGGAGGATGATATTACCGAGTTTTTCCCGTATATAGAATTCCCGCTCCTGAAAAGGTTCGAGATAGATATGGATCCCAACGTTTCGTCGACGATAAGACCTGAGCGGTATGCAAATTTGACCCGGTCGCTGATAAAATTGACTAGCAGGGTGTCTGCACTGTATCTTAAGTCGTACAATGCGCGAATGAATGCGCATTTTTTGCGAGAAATTGTATCTAATAAAGAATCATATCCGAGGTTGAGGGAGGTAAGGATTAGGAAAATTAACTGGGATGGGATAGAAGTGTTACGGGGTTTAAGGGCGGATTTGGTGAGGCTGGAGATTAATTGGTTTTCTGACGAGTGTGAGATTCGACAGGTTGTAGAGGTTCTTCAAGGTATGAGGAATTCGTTGGTATTTGTATATCTGGAAGTGCCCCCGGACTGGGAAGTAGTTCCTGTTGGGGAGATGCCTTACTTGAAAAAGAAGGACATTTTGTTTAGACGGGTCTAATAGCTTTGAAATATGTCAAAGAAAATGCGGGATGGAAGCAATTGTAATACAATAAATATACAATTTATTATGAAAAAGAAAGCATATGCATACCAATCGTGTCTTCTCGGTTTAATCACATGTTTAATTTAATATACAGGGTGGTTTAAATGTCAGGTTACAATGGAAAATTTTGCAATGGGAAAAATTCGCAAATCTCCATTAGTTACCTAAATTTTACCTCTGAAATTCAATATTTTAAGAATTTTGTCATCAGTGTTCCATAAGTTTCGATAAAACCTAATAAAAATCTCAATCCCAAATCCGTAACTAATGGAAATTTACGAATGTTTCCCATTGAAAAATTTTCCATCGTAACCTGACATTTAAACCACCCTGTATTATATTTACCACCAAAATTTCCAATTCCGTCAAGCTATGTATCAGTCATGTTAACAATGGCCAGATATTATAAAGATTGGCGTCTATTTTTCTATTTGAGTAATATTTTATAGGATAACATTTGTAAGGCGAAGTTGCCAAATAAAAAATTGCGAATCCGTAACTACCTTAATTACGAAGATTAACTATTTATGTACCAGTTAAAATGTCAATAATAAATCAATCGTGTAATTCACAATGTTCGACAAGATAGCTACTATCCACCTCTTCGAGGCATGGCCAAACGGCCCAATAGCGATCCCCACCTTTGCCACTGATCGCAATAACCTGACCTCATATTTCGAGTAGCATTTCCCTTTTAAAAACCCCAGAAAACTACCCGACTTTTCAAACACCTTGGCCGCCTCGGGTAGGAGGGTCATCGATATCCAAAACCCGATTGCACTCGTCGCCGGTGCTAACCAGTAAAGCAAAAGAGAACTCCTTTCAGACCGGATGGTCAAATAATTAGTAAAAATCAGGGTGCCCATCCCAAAAAACGCGAGTGGTGGGCAAATAAAGTAGCAAAAGTCTTTGTTATAGTAACAATTCCAAATTTGAAATTCTTTATACACCTGTAAAACTCGGGTTTGGGAATTGGCCCAGGTTTTCGTAACTTTCCTACATCGAGCAATTATCTCTGTGGATGTCGCCAAAACTATGAGCACGAATATGGCAAAGCCACAAATTGATGCCAGAATTTCTTCCACAATCCAGAACAGGGCGCAAATTCGTAGCGGAATTGTGATATAATTATATCCCTGGAAAAGTGAGGCTTTACTGAGAACGTGGAACGGATCGATGTCCAGTAAGACGGCGATGGGACTCATAAATATGGGAATTAGGTGAGAAAGTTGAATAAATGATTGCAGCAAGGACTCCACGGTTTTACTGGAGCGAAATTGATGACCAATTTTACCTAATTCTGAGGATAAAGGGAGCATGTTAATTATTTCTCTGAAAATCTTTTCTCTCTGTCTTGTGAAAATATGTATTTATATTCACATGTTTTATATTTTTAAAAGAGAGATAATGTTTCTGCGAGGATTAATTGCACAAGCATGTATGAATTTCTTAATTATCTGCACTCTTTATAATTTTCTGAGACGAATTGTCACCGCGGATGTTCGAAAGTGCTCTACTTTTAGGTCATGGTTAAGGAGACGTGCTGTCAAAAAGGCAAATTTACCAAAAACAAATCATGTACAAGACTTTTAACATGAAATTCAAGACTTTTAATCATGAATTTCATGATAAAAAGTTTCATGATAAAAACAAGGAGCATCACAGGACACATCAATGAGATCTGTAAACATGTCAAACCAACCATAAAATTGCAGTTATTTACCTCTTACTCGGCTGCCGAATCGGCCAGCTGGGTTGAACAATTGACAAACTAGACTCGACCGAAACCCGATTATACAACTGCTCGGGATGATTGCGGGAAAAACGAGGGTGACGTAAAACATGGCCCAGGTCCTAACCTTGTCTTTTTGGGGACGTACTGTTTCGTCACCGCGCTTGAAATAGAGCTTGTCGCAAAGGAGGAGGAATGTCGTCATGGTGTAAAAAATAAGTAGAAGGGACAACATTTTTAGGAATTTTGGCTTCAGGGGGGAACATGTTTTCAAATATATTTGCCTTTTTTGCACTAAAATGCCGAAAAGAAGCAAATGTCGATAGGAAGAGGAGTATTGTGCCCATATTTCCCACAACCTGGGTGAAATTAAGTCATCTTCGGATGACGGGATTGGTTGAATTTTTCGAGTTTTTCCAATATATTGGAAAAAACGGGGAATCCGAGACATTCTTTCTGATTATTGTAATTTAAGTACTCGGAATTTTTTTTAAATTGTGGATTTTCTTAGGAATGTTTAGATTTGCGAGTTTAAAATATGTAAATGCAGATTTGACGATGTGGCGATGGTATTTGTCAGCAGCGCAGACATCCCATTTTTTTGCAAAAGGGCAATTTGGTAATGATATTAGCAGTTGCGAAACATTTGAATACTTATTTGCGGACGACTTAGGGCACGGTTAAATAAGAATGAAGGAATTTATGCAAGTCGAAATATTATGTAGTTCATTAAGCAGTTTTAGCTTGGAGGAAAAAAATACATTGAGTTTTGGCATAATTGATGAAATATTTCAAAAATCTGTAAGTAAACAGGACGTAAGAACTATGTATACATATATGCACATAGGTTAAAAATTCATGACCTTTTAAGCATAATGTACCTAAAACAAACTTATATGTAATGGAAAGATGAAGTATGCTTAACAGTTTAATATAATCGCGTCATTTTTGCTCATGCTTACTTATATTGAAGGACAGCTATGCCCCACCTCTTCTCCCACTGAAATTCTTGATGGTGATTACATATCTGCGAAGTCATATTATGTATTTCGTTTAGCTTATTTAGTTTGAGAACTCTCAACTCAAACCCCTCAATTCACGGGGATCGTGAAATTCACTGTTATTTGCATACAAATATGAATTAAAAGCTACAATTGAATCAAGCCAATGTACAAATCGAGAAATAGGTAAACTTATTTAAGATAAGCAACCCAGCTTAACGACATGATTAATTGGTCAAATTAACATACCAGCATATCGTCGCACTAATTCTAAAAGACGTAAGTGCATTCGATGCTTAATTTTAAAACCACGTAAGTGCACTCGATGTTTAATTTTAAAACCACGTAAGTGCAGTGGATGTTTAATTTTAAAAAGACGTAAGTGCACAAAAAAAACTAGTAAAAAGACGTAAGTGCACTTTTAAAATTATAAAGAGTAATTACTTGTTCAAAATTGTCCTATCAAGGGAAATTTGAACTTATTGGCCCCCGCAGGCAAGTAATGAAAAACAATTCAAAATTTAAAAACCACACCCTCAGGGGGTGTGGTTCTCGGCACCTAGCGTAAGGTGAATTAAATCCTGACGTATTTATTTCTTCACCTCGGTGACGCAATTCCTAAAGATTATTAAAAATTTCAAAACCACACCCTTTGTGGGTGCGGTTCTCCGCGCCTAATTTGCAATAAATAAAACATGGCAAGCAATATATCCTTTTTCTCATCTCGATGATCCATATTCGACGATACATTCAAAATTTTAAAACCAAAACATTCAGGGGGTGTGGTTCTTCAAGCAAAAATTGCATTTTGACGTGGTTACACCCCCAAAGTTTCAAAGATTGCACTTCAACGTGGTTACACCCCGAATTTTTTAAAATTGAATTTTGACTTGGTTACACCCCCAACGTTTCCAAAATTGAATTTTGACTTGGCTACACCCCCAAAGTTTCAAAAATTGAATTTTGACTTGGTTACACCCCCAAAGTTTCAAAAATTAAATTTTGACTTGGTTACTCCCCCAAATTTTACAAACCTAAATTTTGATGTGTTTACACCCTCAAAGTTTTCCCAACTCAAATTTCAATTTTGGAAACTTTGGAGGTGTAACCAAGTCAAAATTCAATTTTGGAAACTTTGGGGGTGTAACCAAGTAAAAATTGAATTTTAGAAACTTTGGGGGTGTAACCAACTTAAAATTCAATTTTGTAAAACTTGGGGGTGTAACCAACTTAAAATTCAATTTTGTAAAATTTGGGGGTGTAACCAAGTCAAAATTCAATTTTGGAAACTTTGGGGGTGCAACCAAGTCAAAATTCAATTTTTGAAATTTTGAGGGTGTAACCAAGTCAAAATTCAATTTTGGAAACGTTGGGGTTGTAAACAAGTCAAAATTTAGGTTTGTAAAATTTGGGGGAGTAAGCAAGTCAAAATTCAATTTTTGAAACTTTGGGGGTGTAACCAAGTCAAAATTCAATTTTGTAAAATTTGGGGGCAACCAAGTCAAAATTCAATTTTTGAAACTTTGGGGGTGTAACCAAGTCAAAATTCAATTTTTGAAACTTTGGGGGTGTAACCAAGTCAAAATTCAATTTTGGAAACGTTGGGGGTGTAACCAAGTCAAAATTCAATTTTAGAAAATTCGGGGTGTAACCACGTTGAAGTGCAATCTTTGAAACTTTGGGGGTGTAACCACGTCAAAATGCAATTTTTGCTTGAAGAACCACACCCCCTGAATGTTTTGGTTTTAAAATTTTGAATGTATCGTCGAATATGGATCATCGAGATGAGAAGAAGGATATATTGCTTGCCATGTTTTATTTATTGCAAATTAGGCGCGGAGAACCGCACCCACAAAGGGTGTGGTTTTGAAATTTTTAATAATCTTTAGGAATTGCGTCACCGAGGTGAAGAAATAAATACGTCAGGATTTAATTCACCTTACGCTAGGTGCCGAGAACCACACCCCCTGAGGGTGTGGTTTTTAAATTTTGAATTGTTTTTCATTACTTGCCTGCGGGGGCCAATAAGTTCAAATTTCCCTTGATAGGACAATTTTGAACAAGTAATTACTCTTTATAATTTTAAAAGTGCACTTACGTCTTTTTACTAGTTTTTTTTGTGCACTTACGTCTTTTTACTAGTTTTTTTTGTGCACTTACGTCTTTTTAAAATTAAACATCCACTGCACTTACGTGGTTTTAAAATTAAACATCGAGTGCACTTACGTCTTTTTAGAATTAGTGCGACGATATGTAAAGAATGATTAGATACTGTTGTTAAGTATATCTGTGGTGCCACGTCGACCGCTTTGGATCATCCATAAAAAGGTCTAACACATAGCGCGTCACAAAAAAAATTCAAACTTTGCCAGAATTTAGAAAATATTAATAGAAAATTATTTTTCCTATAAAATTTTTCGATATCTG